AGAGAGAGAGAGAGAGAGAGAGAGAGAGAGAGGAGAGAGAGAGAGAAAGAGACAGGAAGAGAGTGCTTTGTCTCGCTATCTCGGCGACATCCTAACAACTATTTCGACTATGTGGACTTGAAGATTCTGATAATATCACTCGCGGAAGATTCGCGCAATCGTCTGACACTCGCCGTCACTCGCTCATGACATTCAGGAATTTTGGAGAAGATTGATCGGAAATCACGACGCGGTTATCTCGGCCTCGTCTTGTGATCAGCTGTACGTCTCAAGACTGTTGAGCTTGCGGGCGTGACGACGAGCTCCCCCTTTGCTTTTGGAGCAAATATCAATAAATCCGAGCATGACCGTTGAGCTCCTAAAGATTTCCGTTGGGACGACCGACCGATTCGTTCACGAAGGAACCGAGTTAAAATTTGCAAAAAGATCTCAATTTCTTAGAAGTGACAGTTTAAAATGTCAATAAAATTAATTGACTTTTAATTCTTAAAGTCTAATCTTCTTTAGGGTTAAAAAATGCATGACGATTTAATGAATGATGACGAATTAATTCTTCTTGCTTATTTTACTATTAAGAGAAAATATAAATTATCTGTAAAATAAAATGAAAACTATATTTAATTTTTAATGAGAAATTTATTTATTTGGAAAATGAATTATTAGTATTTTTCTTCAAACGCGTATCTTATTTTAAAATTACATAAAGATTACAGTGGATAAAGGACGAAAATTTTCTTTTACAATTCTGTTCTCTCACACAACTCCTGTAATTTTAATTAATTAGTAATATCGAGGGCTGCGTCATTACGATTTAATCGTATATACCTGTTGTATGTACACAAAAATCAATATATGCGGAGAGGAAAGAGCAAAGTTTCAATAACGTGAAACAAACACCTACGATTGAGAAAGATGTTCGCATCACGCATCAATCGAATGGTCCGCGAAAACGTCTGGAAAACGCGAGATGAATTTAATTAACGCATACCCCATACGTATGCATTGCCGGGACCACAAACCTTCATCGCGTGCAATCCCCTCGATGAAATTGGCGCGAAGCACGAAAAGCATTCACGAAAGAACCATTGAGAATGGATCGCAACTGATAAAGGACTCGCTTTCCATCGAGTCGCATTTTGAAAGCTGAGCTTACATTCCCCTTTTTCAAGCATTTATGCTTGAATTGTTTTGGAACTTTCTTAAATTAACTCTGAATTTTTGAATTTTAGAATTTTCAAACGTTCAATTTTTTAGCATTCTTAAATGGCTTGGATCACAGGATTCTATGGACTTTTGATCTTTTAATTCTCGTAATTGTTCCTTAGCTTTTTATTTCAAAGTTCAGAAAACAATTTCAAAATTTCTTTGATTTTGAATGTTACAATTTTTATTGTTATTATCATCACTGAATTTCGTTCTTTAACTTTAATGAATTTTTTTGAATTGTAATCATGAAATTATGGATTCTCGACTCAAAATCTGCGATCGAAAAAAGGCGATCGGCCAAGTAGTTTATTTTCTGTTTATTACTGATGGTATTTTATGAACCCTTCTTTTTACTGTCTTGCGTGAAGGATTCAATGTTTTGGGCGACTCAGAATAAGAATAAGCCGAATTCTCTATTGATTCACCTGGAAACCAAATCGATATCCGTACGAGGCACAGGCGCTCACTTCGTAACGGATCGGCCAACTTTCCTCAAATAGTCTGTTGAGTTCGTCGCCCGTTTAACGAATCTGTCAAATTTTATGACCTCAAAAATAATTTTCATTGAGAAAGGATCTTACAAAAAATATTGTGATTCTACAAAGTTTTCTGTGAAAAAAATGGAGGAAAAAAATATGGTCCTGCAGAAATGTATCACGTTTATTAACCCAGTGAAGTTTAATTTAAAATTAATCTAACGTAAAATAGATTAATTTGAAAAAATTTAATTAAAAAAAGCGCTCAAAAATATTTTTTGTTAGTATGATGGAATCGCATTTAATATTTTAACTTGATCGAAAAAGAAGGCAAGAAGTTCGGACATCGTCAAAAAAAGATTCTGAGAATGAATAAGAAAGACGATCCGCTGTTAAAAAATGAAACGTTGGAGATTTCCGAAGGCTCTCAGGATCAGAAGGATCTATCAAAGGAGGTGGAAGAGAAACCTGTGTTTCGCAAGTATCGCACGAAACATATGAAGTTATTTCCGGAATTATATCGAAGCGACGTCTCGATTCATCCCAGCTACACCGGTCTGAAAACCTTGCCTTAGTAAGAATTAATTCAATCGACAAATTAGATATAAATAAAAAAGTATATATTTAGATATAAATATAAAAGAATATATTTTCTGTACCTAATTAAATATTATTATATTTATAAGATGTTAATTCTATTAAATCAGATATTCTGAAAAATTTCAATAAGATTTCAAGAGAGTTGCACAAGCTTCTTAAAAGCTGAAAATTGTTTAATTTTAAACCGCGTACTTTATATTTAATTATGTAACTAATTATATCAATTTTTAAGCAACGTCGTCTGCAGGCATCGCGTGCAAAGGATTAAGCGACAGTCATTTCGGCAGCTGAATCGCGAGATCGTGCATTTCACTATGATCCAAATGTTTGCTCTTGACGGTGTGAGAATCGATCGTGTCTTCAGCATCGGTATGTCACCGAAGATGTTGGTCGTGCCGGATCTACTAACAGACAAAGAGAGACGCCGTCTGAATGAGGTTCTTCGAGATCCTTAAAAAATGTCTGGCATTCAATTTCTATAAAAACAGACTTTATATATCCTACTTATCCAATTGTTCAATCTTGAGCTAATATCAATTTGTTGTAATTATTTCTTGTAATTATATGTATTAATAAATTTTTTAATTACTCTTATAATTATTATTAATCAACAATTTGAACTCTTTTCTGCATTTTTTAATTTAGTATTGTGTGTGTGATAGTTATTATAAAAGTTTTACTAAAAAGACTAAAACTTTATTTTTATTTTATAAAAGTCTTAAATTAATATATAATTATTAAATAGCTATTAATTTAATAGTTAAAATAAAGATAATATATTTACTTTGTAAAAAAATTGCGTAAAAAAAGTTATTTATTAAATGCATTGTTAGTTATTTTTATCCGAAAGATGAGACATTTGCAATTATTGAATAAACTCGAGAAACAAAGGAAAAAATTCAGTTTGATATTTGTCAATTTGGAAAGAACCTGAACTGTCAATAAACAATATTTTGCAATGTTTAAAAATACTTATCAGAGAGGATTTCTATCTATTTTATATAGTTGTGGATCATCTCCTCTGGAATTATGGGATATGCACGTTGGTTTTTATCATATTTAAAAAGTATCATAAATTGGTTTTTATTATATTTAAAAAATATCATAAAGTGATTTCTAATTTCTTGAAATATAATCTTGTAAATATAGCTGTCTAGACTAAATCTATATCTAAAATCAAATTTGTATAATCTAGGTATATATTTAATTTAAAAAAGTAACGAATTATCTATTTAAAAAGAATATGTAAAATGCGGATATAGAATATAAATTTAGATTTAGAAAATATATAGATTTATTGCATTGCGCATATACATTTAATCAGGTAAAAAATGGATATATACGAAGAATCACAGATGAAGAAATAAAGTCATTGGCTTTAGAAATAGCCGGCACTAATGTGGCTACAACTTATATTTACTGCCCGGCAGATCTGAAAAAGGTGTTAGGCATTAAATTGCCCTTTCTTATCATCATTATCAAGAATATGAAGAAATATTTCACATTCGAGATAACAGTAAGGTCTATGTGAATACGTATTTAATAAATAAAGCTTTCAATTTCTTTTTCTTAAACAAGGTTTTCCATTTTATTCGTTAAATATACCGATATATCTGTATCTTAAATAAGATTTTCCCTTTTAAATAAGAAATTTTTACTCACTGTCTTAAAAAGCATTCCTACTTTTTGTTATTTAAATAGGAACTTTAATTTTTTTAATAAAACTTTGTTTGTTTTTTTTTTTTAGAAAAAACTTGTTTCTAATAACAAATTTTATTTTTCTAAAGTCTTGTAGATTTCCGTCATTTTTTAATTTCAAGAGTTTAATTAAAATATTAATGACCTATGAAATAGATATTGGATGATAAGAATATGCATAGAAGATTTCGCGTGAGCAATTTTCAAAGTACGACGCGTGTTCGTCCATTCTCTACATCCATGCCCATCAGACTCTCAGGCGGATGGAATCAAATTCAATTCAATTTGTGCGATTTTACACGACGGGCCTATGGTACGAATTACATCGAAACCATCAGAATGCAGATTCACGCTAATTGCAGAATCAGACGAATATATTTTGCTGATAGGCAAGGATCTATATGAATTGATTTTTATTAATTTATAATTTAATGTCATATTATACGAATTTTTTTATTCATTATCGACGAATTTAATTATAATGCCACGTCATTTATTTATTTAAATTATTAAATTATTAATTTTTATTCCTAATGGATCTATATTTATTTAGAATAAATAATTTAATCCATACTTATAATCAAAGTTTTTTTTATTTTAAAAAAGTAAGCTCGAGCTTATAATTAGCACTAGATATTTTTTTAGACTTTATTCAGAAGATGAAATGCCAGAAGATTTCAAACTTTTCTTCCCGTTACATCGGAAAAAATGTGTTAGGGAGGAAAAAGTATTGCCTATTGTCGTTGCAAAAGAATCGATCATTGAACCTGAAGTATCAGTGGAAGAAACAATTGAGCCATTAATTTCGAAGGAGCCTGATTTAATCGAGAAAGAAATGATTGAAATGCGTTTAGAAAAAGTAGAGAAAATTATTGAAAGACAAATTGAAGAAGAAATAGAAAAAGAAGAAGAAAAAGAGGAAGAAAAAGAAGAAAAAGAAGAGGAAGAAAAAGAAGAGGAAGAAAAAGAAGAAAAAGAAAAAGAAGAGGAAGAAAAAGAAGAGGAAGAAAAAGAGGAAGCAAAAGAAGAGGAAATAATAGAAGAAAAAAAGAAGAAATAACAGAAAAGGAAGAAAAGAAGAGAAGAAAAGAAGAGGAAGAAAAGAAGAGGAAGAAAAAGAAGAGGAAGAAAAAGAAGAGGAAGAAAAAGAAGAGGAAATAACAGAAGAGAGACAAAAAGAAGAAGAGGAAGAAGAGGAGGAAGTTGAAATCCTTGATAAAGACATTGCAATCCTTGACGAAGAACAAGAAATCGAATATATGGACGTTCACGAAGATGAAGAAGAAGAAGAAGTTATATATATATAAAAATTGGAAGTTTATACAAAAAATAAGGACGTTCAAATAAAACATAACTTTATAAATAAATATACGTATTATGTATTTTTATTGTTTAGACTGCATATATTCTTTTTGTATTACTTAACAAAGAACATTATTACAAAAAATTCGAATATAATAAAATAATTAAATGAAAAAGTATTCCAAATTTAGGTTACGAAACGTCATAATCTTCCTCTTCTCGTTTTCTCTTTAAGGACTCATCAGTTTCCATCTTGACGGTCGGCAACGTCTGATTAGAAGTAATCTGTATTTTCGGTTTCGTTACTTGTGCTTTTACCGTCGTAGAGCTCGTTGTCGCTGCAGAAATATTGACATTAGCATTGATTTTAAATTTATTTGACATTAACATAGATTTAAATTTATTAATCATTTATAATCTTAGATATTATTTTCTTAAATCCAATTAAGTTTAATTTTTAAATTTAAATAAATTTATCAAATTTATTGAATAAGAAATATATAGATCTTGGCGATTTTGTAAATGTTCACTGTGATTTTTTTCATATAGGAATCTTACTTGCTGGAGTTTTAAAGGAAATACGGAATGGTATGGAAGGATGAGACTGCAATAAGTGGAATGAAGCTGAAGTTGAAAATAAAGAAAGTGATACATTTACACTAAAAGATTAGTCATAGAAAGATTAGTCATATACAAGTATATACAAAATAATATACATTAATATAACATTAATGTGATTATAATATAGTAAAAAAAATATTACCTGTAGAGAACTTCAAGACAGGTTTTGGTATAGAAATAGTTTGTGTTCTGGCAACAGTGGCGAGTGTTCCAGGTCTCTTAACAATCGACACACCAGCCTTAGTTCCTTCTACTTTTGATCTTGGTTGTCCACTACATTGATTATTTCCTACCAAAGAATGTGCAGGTTTCTGAACAATTTTCTTCGTCGCGTTTTTAAGTTTGAAGTTTGTTGCATTTAAACAATATCGATCTGGTGGTAATCTAAGGCCATTGTTTGGCTTGACAAAAGGTAATGGAATGTTGTTTTTGGTACGCGCTACATCCAACAATACATCTCTGGGTGGTGGATTTGTAAATGAACGTTCCAACTGCATTTTGACTGCCAATCTGACGTCATCCAGATCGATGAACTTCTTCTTGGCATGATTAGCATACACTTTGCTATCATCCAATATGCATGTGACATATCCTATAAAAAGATTTAATTTATTCACAAAATCTTCCAGAATTTTTAGAATTAAAATACAAAAGTTTAATATAAAAGTTATCAAATTGACATTATTAAAATAAAAGAGAAAACTTACGATACGTAAACTCCAACAACTGATTGATCACTTTGGGTTCATAATCGGTTATTCCCATGTCCTTCATGATTGACATGATGACTTGAGCATCTTTGGGAATATGTTTCACGTGGCTCATATTTTTTGTCTTCTCCGACATTCTGTGAAATTAAAATAATTCTTCACTGTGAAAGATGCAAACCATAAGAACGTTATGTTTCCACGTTCAACTTTTAGGTTATGTATACACTTTATTTGTATTCCAAAAGAGTTGTATTTCAATGGTGATATGTGCTGCCGTGGAGGAGAAAATCAAACACATGAACCAAAAGTCTCTAGGATGGCGAGAATTCTGTGTAGTGACATTTCACGTTGCCAGCATTTCGCAAGCGAGAAGGAGCTTTGGCTTTCAAATAAATTTAGTTAGTTTGTGGCGCGTCGTTGTAACACATTCATTGTGTGTTGTCGCTTCCGTTTTTCAGGAAAATTGCTGTCATTCGATGAAATTCAGCAAGATGAATATCACTTCAGCAGGTAAATCGCCAAATAATCGTCCATTATTCAAGACCATTGTTTTTTCATTAATCGTGCGAGAATTCGATCGCGTACGTGAATTTTCACACGATGATTTGCAAATCGTGCAAGACTTAACCTCGAAATCCTTTTATTCTAAATTTTGGAGCATCCATTTTTGACAGCTAAAGAGAAGTGACAAGAGAAATTTCATGCAAATTTATCGAATAGTACAAAAAAATTTGTTACTTACTATTTTATTATTTATTATCTATATATATTTTTTTATACATAATTTATTTATTGTGCATTTTGATGATAATTTCACCTTTAACGCAATTAAAATTATTACAGCTGGTATAATCTCCTTGTTGGAGGAACCTATGCCCGAATTGAAGGTTTTTGCCTTAAAAAAATTGGATATGATAGTTGATGAATTCTGGCCTGAGATTTCTGAAGCCATAGAAAAGATGTAAGAAAGAAAATATTATTAATTATAATAATTATAATTTCTATTGCGAGTTTATTGCAATTGATACAATCAAATTTGTTGATTCTCATTTTATTTAGTGTTATTGCTTTATTCTTTAATGGATATTTTATTTGCAGTGAGATCTTGCATGAAGATAAATTGTTTCAACAACATGAACTGGCCGCTCTAGTTGCTAGCAAAGTATATTATCATTTGGGAAGCTTTGAAGATTCATTGACTTATGCCCTTGGAGCAGGAGAGTTGTTTGATGTCAATGCTCGAAACGAATATGTCGACACTACTATTGGTATAAAATTATTATTATCATTAAAATTATTATTATCATTAATGTTTAACTTATGAAATATTAGTATTTAATTACTCGATCTTTCAGCTAAGTGTATTGATTATTACACCCAGCAACGTGTCCTGGAAGCAGAAGGAAAACTTCCATCAGGCAGCAAAGGCATTGATCCTAGATTAGAGGGAATAGTGAATCGAATGTTTCAACGTTGCTTGGATGACAATCAATATCGCCAGGCACTAGGTCTTGCTCTGGAGACACGCAGGATGGATATATTTGAAGCAGCCATTATGCAATCTGTAAGTATTTTGCCACTGATCTTTTAAATAACCATTTTATTATTTTCATGATGAATTATGATTATCCATCCCTTTCTTTTTAATCTTTCCAATTCCTTTCTTTTCAGGACGATGTGAGCGGTATGTTATCGTATGCCTTCCAAGTGGCTATGAGTTTAATTCAAAATCGTGGATTTCGCAATACTGTTCTTCGCTGCTTGGTCAGCCTCTACCGAAACCTCGGAACTCCTGATTACGTCAATATGTGTCAATGTCTGATTTTCTTGGATGATCCATTAGCCGTAGCCGAGCTTCTAGATCGACTGAGCAAGGGTTCGCATGATTGCGTGATGATGGCTTATCAGATTGCCTTCGATTTATATGAATCTGCAACGCAACAATTCCTGGGACGTGTTCTGCAGGCTCTGCGAGCCACTGCGCCTATTCCAGGCGCGTTAATGGTTAAACCAGTGGTTAAACCTACTGCTACCACCACCACCACCATCACCACCACTACTACCACCACCACCACCACCACCACCACCACCACCACTACCACTACCAAAACTACTGAAGCCAGTACCGAGTCCACGAACATGGAAGTCGATGAGGAAACAACTGCTCCCAGTGAGGAAGAAAAGGCTCAGCGTAGCGTCGAAAGTTTGGTGAGTGTTATTTGTGAGAGTTTATTGATAAACAAAATTAAGATATTAAAATAAAACTGTTACACATTTTTTTTATATTATATAATACAGTTATTTTATTTATATAAAATAGATAAATTGTAAATATTATATTGTTTTCTCATTAGCATTCTTCTTATGAAATTTTATTCTTTCTTAGAATGCAGAGGAGAAAGAGCATTCTTCTTATGAAATTTTATTCTTTCTTAGAATGCAGAGGAGAAAGAGCAACAACAGCGTGTGGATTCTCTGTCCAGAATTTTAGGTGGCGAAATTTCTATTGATTTGCATCTACAATTCTTGATTCGTAGCAATCATACCGACATGCTGATTCTGAAAAATACTAAGGATGCTATAAGAGTCTCAATTTGTCACACTGCCACTGTTATTGCGAACGCTTTCATGCATTCGGGAACAACAAGCGATCAATTTTTGAGGTATTTTTAACATTTTGGCATTTCCCATTTTCAATAAATTTGAAACTTTTTATTTTCATTTTCTTTAAAACAAGAACTTTCTAAAAATTTTATATATTGTAATGTTTTTTGATCTTAAGAAAAATTAATGTTAAAATGAAATATGAAAAGTAAAATCTCGCAGATTTTAATTTTTTGAAATTTTTATCTTTTAGGGATAATTTGGAATGGTTGGCTCGTGCTACTAATTGGGCTAAGCTGACTGCGACGGCTTCTTTGGGAGTTATTCATCGAGGTCACGAGCAGGAAGCTTTAGCTTTAATGCAATCTTATTTGCCGAGAGATTCTGGTGCCGCTGGTGCCGGATATTCTGAAGGTGGTGGTTTATATGCTTTGGGACTTATACATGCTAATCATGGGGCCGCTATTACGGATTACCTTTTAGGCCAATTAAAAGATGCCCAGAATGAGGTATTTAACAATTATTTCAGAACATTTACATTAAATTATACATTATATTATATCTTAAAATATATTATACATATATTAATTGTTTTTTATAAAAAATTGGATATGATAGTTGATGAATTTATCAATTAGCTGATAGTTGATTATTAGATAATTGATTATTTATTAATTTATAAATAATTGATTAAATTTTTTGATAATTAAATATATGCGATTTATTTTTTGATATTTGTTTTAGATGGTCCGTCATGGTGGCTGTCTCGGTCTTGGATTAGCCGCGATGGGTTCACATAGACAGGACGTTTATGAACAATTAAAATTTAACTTATATCAAGATGATGCCGTAACTGGTGAAGCGGCTGGAATTGCAATGGGTATGGTCATGCTGGGATCTAAATCAACGCAGGCAATCGAGGATATGGTTGCGGTAAGTTTAAATATATTTTTTAATTTTTTTATCCTCGCTTTATTTTATTCCTTACATATAAATTTTAATCATAAAAATAAATTTGCTTTGATAAAATATGTTCTTTAAAAAGCCCAAAATTATTAAAAGATATAAAATAAAGTAAATTAAAAGTTTGGAGAAATATATCTTCTTGTTTTATGTTTTTTTATGTGAAAGAGATATTTATATTATTTATTAATATTTACATTAATATTAACATACTAAAGTAACGCGAAAAAAGTAATTATGACAGAATAAAATAGTAAAAGAACATAAAGTTGGTCTAGATTAAAAGAAAAGATTTTAATATAGAATGTATACAAGAAGTGTAGGAATATATACAAAGAATAAGTGTAAAATGTATTGTTATCCGAGCGCGAATGGTGATTCGCTGGCAGTCTGTAGAATGTACGTTCCACGTGCGCTGAAAATGACACAAACAGTAAAAGGATTAATTAATGTTTTGATCAACTTATATGAAAGGCAACGTGAAAGTTTTTGCGATACTCGATATATTTTTGGACACATCGATTAAAAGAACAAAGGGAGGTGGAAAGAGAAAATGTATTTACTTCGGATCGAGGGATGGTCCGCCCATGAACACATCTCCAGCGCGGAAACCTGTTGGGTTTGTAATCGATTCGACGTAATATAAATAAGACCTCGCGTGTGCACATCCCGTTGCCTTGGAATCGTCTGTGAAATCATGGATTAATTAGTTTATTAATTAATGAACCAAAGAATCGAGTTACTTACCGATCGGACCACATCCTGGTTGCTGTATGCCGCCATTGGGATAAAAATCAGAAGTGCCGACTGCTGATTTCATTCCTACATATTTCGCGCAGGTGTGTATCACCTGTACCAGAACTGCGTCTGATTTGTCCACCCTTTTTCCTGGTGGTTTGGATTCGAAAGCAGGTCCCGCAGGATCTGTAGCTGTAGATTAGGAATTCGTTTTAATCTCATTCATTTTAATCTTAGATCAAGATAAGTAATTAAAGAATTGAGCTTTCTATTGGACTTACCGACTACTTCGGCAATCTCGCTGGTCGCGAAACGAGCGCCGAGACTGGCGACATGCGCTCCCATGGAATGTCCGATCACTGTAGTTTTACCAGGATCAAGATTCGCGTTGTTTTCGAGGAAATCTATCAGAGAAGCCACGCGTTGCGACACGAATGGCACGCTTCTCACGGATTTCCAATACCAGTCATATTTGGCTGCTTCACGCCAATCAATTAGAATGACATTGTAATCACCGACATTGAGATAAGCTAAAGATGTCGAAGTGTTGATATTAATAGAATGGAAATTAATTATCGAGATATTGATACCAAAATAATTCATGCTTACATAATTCAGGAGATAAAAAAAATCTAAATTAAATTAAGGATTTATTGAAAAAATTATTTCAAAGGATTAAAAAATAAAAAAGAAATAAAAGTTTTGATTTTAAAAAATTCAAAAAATAGAAAAACATTAAGTTTTTAAATTAAAAGTTTTAAAGATAAAATAAAGAGAGATAAGAAATAAGGATTGAAAAACTTAAAAAGTGAGAACATAAAAATTTTTAAATAATTAAAATTGATAATAATTCTGTTACCATCTCGAATCTGAGTACAACTGGGATTTTCGGAATTTCCTTTCCATCCATGAGTGACTAGTCGAGTAGGATGATCAGGATTCCAAAAACTCTTTTTTACGCTATCCAGATCATCGATGAATAGCTGCTGTCCAATTACTGGGTTCTTTCTAAAGAAAAAGAAAAAAAGAGAAAAAAAAGAAGCGATATTTTTATCGCAATTGTATCAGTATCTCGCATCCAAAAAAAAAAAATAAATACTTTATATTAGTGGAATCTTCTAAATCTTAGAGGATTTTATTTTTATATATGGCCTCAAGAAGAATCCACTAAAAGTAAAAGAAAAATATTCTAAGTACAATATTTTTTTCATTTAGAGTAATTTCGTCTTACATCTTGCAAATTCTGGTTGTTCTCAATATCAATTTTCTTTGTTACAGAATAATAATATTGTTTTTAAAGATTATATTATATTATTTATATATATATATATATATATATATATATATATATATATATATCTTTGCTAGATTACATGATATATTGATATATATATCTTGCTAGATTAAATGTGAATCAGTCCATTTTCAAGTTGATCTTTTCCAAAAATCTTTCAACTTTACTTTCACTCATTGCGACAGAAACAAAACGAGAATATGAGATAATAATATCTAGTATCTATCTGAGCACTTTTCTACAAGGAAGTTTTTTACAAAAGACAAAATCGCGGTTTCACTCTTTTTGATCGTGTTCCGATATATACACTGCCAGTACTAAAAATCTATAATAGGCGTTATGCGAATTATGGATTCTCTATACAGTGTATATCTGAATGCGGCCGTTCCCTCTTCCTGCATCTTCTCGCGTAGCGTGACGCTTTTTCAATTTTAACTTATCATACATGGTAGACACGGTAGCGACACACTTTATTTTTCCTTGTATCGCATGTAATAGGGTATTCCGCTTTCAATAAACATATTCCTCTTAATACAAGAGGAAAACCATTAGAATAATATACATTACATTTTGGATGAATAGTTTACTTTATTAGAAGAGGAATATGTTTATTGTAAACTTTTTCTGTAAACAACTTTGCTTAGAATACGGGATTACAAGAAATTTCTCACTTTATAATTAGAATATTTTTTTTTTTTTTTTGAGTGCGGGAATACTTACCGAGTATACAAATAGAAGGTGGTGTTTTGAGCAGACTCGTCAATTTGTTCGAGTTCTGCCTGTGTAAATTCAGGTTCGTTGAGATCGATCAAGTGTGGGGTTCCATAATCGTCGATGAAAATTGTATAATTAAGATTTGCCACAGTGGACGCCAATAGAGAAAAATACACTGCAGGCAAAAGACATCCATTGATCCAAATTATTTCTCCAAAATGGAATTAAACGCACGTAATTTTATACACAATTTAAAAATATATTTTTTTTCCTGAAATGCAACTGCGTATTCGAAGAGATCTTTTTCGCAGATTTAAAATTATGAAATTAAAAACCTTTCTTTCTTTCGATTATGCAACTGCAAGATAAGAATAATCTTTTTTTTTTTTTCAACACAATTGCGAAACTAATTCTTTACGTACACAATGCAATTGCCGACAAAACAACCATCTTTGCAATAATTTTCACGAGTCATTATAGATACAGATTTACTTTTTCTTTTATAGTCCATCGATAAGCATCTATTCAGTGGTGTGATCGATAAGTCGTTGATAATATTGATAGCCGTCATAAATCATAGGCATCAATCAAATTCGAAAGGAAATTAAATTAAAGATTGTGGAAGTAGTTAACACTTATGATCAGATATATTTTTTGACTTTGGAAAAAACATAGCTTTGGATTTGTATTGACAGTTTTAATAATATTAATTTATAATTCGGATAATATCGTAAATAAACGAAATTTTTGATATGATAATAGCAAGTGTTCTGATATAAAATGATTGAGATGATAAAGATGATAAAGATTCATTGATAAGATTTATTGATAAGAAATAATAATGTATCTGATTAAAGCACAATTCAGAATGTTTAATATATTGTAGAAGTTTAATATATTGTTAATCACAAAGGAAATTAAGTGGTTTAAATAATAAAAAATTCAGAGAGTATTATGATGTAAAAAATTTTTTTTTTAGTCTTATAAGAATTTGTATAAAAAATAAGCGTTGCTAACCGAGTGCGAATGGTGGCTGTTTGGCAGTCTGCAGAACGTACGTTCCATGGGCACTGAAAATAATACAAATGATAAGTTAATTGACATCTCGAATAATTTGCGTAAGTAAAAGCATGGAAGTTTTTGGACACTTAGGCTGAGTTTTGGGGAGCGCGCTATTAGAACTTAGAAAGAATCGCATCATTTTATCCTTATTCCCTATCCCTAATTTACACATGCAATAAAAATACATAATTTACATGAACAATAAAGACGAAATGATGCAGTAGTGCTAAAATAGCGCGCTCTCTGAACGCAGCCTTAATGTTTCTTGGCAGATTGATTAAAAGAAATAAAAAGAAATGGTGTTGTATTTTAGGAAAAAAAAAAAATGAATATTCATACAGAATATTCATAAGACAAGACAAAATTGTACTTACTTTGGATCGAGAGTTGGTCCACCCATGAAAACTTTCCCGGCGCGGAAACCTCTGGGATTCCTGATAGACTCGGCGTAGTATTTATGAGACCTTGAGTGTGAGCAACCCAATCCTAATATCATTTAGCATGATAATTAATGAACCAGAGAAAATGAGCAATGTTGATTTCAGCGCTCGATATCGAGCTTTATTTACCGGAAAAACCGCATCCCGGTTGGTCTTTGCCACCGTTCGGATAAAAGTCGGCGTCACCGAGTGACTCTTCCAGACCCAGAGTACTCGTGTGAATTACGTGCACTTTATTTCCGTCTGTTTTGTCTACTCTTTCTCCAGGTCCCTTTGATGTGAAAAGGGGTTTTGCGGGATCTAAAGCTATAGATACGATGTGTTATTAATTGTTACGAATATATTATTATTATAATATATTCATACATCGAATAATTTTTAGTTAAAATTTGTAGAAAGATTTTTGATAAAATAGAGAATTAATATCAAGTCATTATAAAATCATCAAGTTTTATCAAATTTTACAGCTTTTTAGATTTTAGATTATTATTATTATTATTATTATTATTATTATTATTTTAGATTATTATTTTTTATTGTACTATTTTTTTGTTTTCCAAGGAAATTTATGTTTCTTTTTTAATTCCTCTTTAAACGCTTGTAATTATATTTATTATTTATTTGTTATTATTTTTGTTTATTATTTTTGATTTTATTTTCTTTTTTTGAAAATGATTTTTATTGGATTTACCTATTATCTCAGCAATTTTACTTTTTGCGAAACGAGCGGCAATACCAGCGAGATGTCCTCCAAGAGAATGTCCTATTATTTTGGTATTGGAAGGATTCAGATTAGCTTCACTTTGCAGGAAATCTATTAATTTTGTCACGCGTTCTGCCACGAGTGGTACACTTTGCACAGCTTCCCAGTACAAAGGACTTTCAGCTGCTTTCCGCCAGTCGACTAGGATGACGTTATAATCGCCGATACTAAGATAAGCTAAGAATATCAAAGAGGAAATATTAATAAAATAGAAATTAATCACTGAAACTTGAAGTAATAAGACGACGCGTGGAATCCGGGAGTTCAGAAATTCAAATTATGTTTGAAAATTTAAGGAATTCAGAGAATAGAGAATTGAAAGTTGCCAGGAGAGAAAAGCAAGGATTATTAAGGAAGCTGAAAAGGAATTAAATTTCGAAAATGTAAAAAAGACTAAAAATTCGAGAATTTTAAGATAAAGAAGAAGGAAAGAGAATTAAAGGAGAGTTATATTAAAGAGATTCAAGAAACGATTTAGGCATTTAAACTTATTAACAAACGATTCTACCATCTCGAATCGAAGCGCAAGCGGATCCAGCCTCTGTGTCTCCTCGCCATCCGTGAATGACAAAACAAGTGGGATGAGCAGGATTCCAAAAACTTTTTTTTACGCTCTCCTTATCACCGACATTCAGCGGCTGTCCAACTTGCGGATTGTTTCTAAATAAAAAACGATCGATTTCGTGTTATGATTTTTTTTCTTTTGTAATTTTACATCTATATATTTTTGATGATACTTACCGGGTGTATAATTGCAAAGTGGTCTTGAGCACATTATCCTTAATGTTCTGTAGCTCTATTTGCATGGAATCAGGTTCAGTAGTGTCGATTATATACAACGTACCACGTTCATCGGCGAAGAGCGTCCGGTTTGGATTCGCCGCGAGGGATGCCAATAGGGTGGGATATACTGCAAGCAAAAGGCATGTTTTCGTAAAACGAATTAAATAGTTGTTATTAAATCTATGCGAAATTTTACAATATTTTTTTGCAACTGCGAAACTGTAGAGATAATTTTTTTATTACGAATCAACAACAACAAAGGATAATTATTTTTTTGTCACGAAGACGCGAAATAAAAGGAGATTGTATTTTCTTCATGAATTTGTTTCACAACTGTTTTATGGATAATTTTTTTTTTATTACAAATACACTATTCACAAATTAAATAAGATTTTTTTGCATATGTCATTGTGAAATTTAAGAATAATTATTTCTTACGCACAAAGTGCGATTGCCGGTGAGACCATTTTTACTGTTAGTTGGTAGCACGACCAATTGAAAACCGGTTTTGATTGCAACTTTTCTGACTTTACTTATATATCGTTGACGGAGACTGATAAGATGATATCAATAAATATGTCAATAAATTAGTACATGTGTCATTTTGAAAAGAGATAATTAAGAGACATTTTACGATTAATTGAACATTAATATTTATTCACAGACACACACAGTTTGTGATAATCTTAATAAAATTACATAATCGTGGAAAAAGTTTGTGAAATATTTTGTAACATTAAAATGTAATTTTATATAATTTAGAGTGTTTGCTGAAAGTTTCTTTGAAATTTTATTATAATTATACTAGCTTTGATATCAAATTTTAATTTATAATTTTGTTATAATTTTTTATAGTTGAATTTTGAATTGAATTTTATCAGGTATTGTTAATTGAACCATATATGTTCTATTAACAGCATTAAAAAAACAGTTTAGATAGTCTTTCATTTTCGCCATCGGAAAATGGTCGATAAAGACACGATTTCGCTATGTTTTTTCTCACGCTATTCGCGCATTAATCTGCAAAGTTTTCTCTCCGCGAATCTCCTAAAATCACGGTCGCGCTTTAGTTTCGATATTTCTAGTGGAAAGTAGTCTTGCACGCGGCTGAAACGAGCTTTAACTTTTGTTGCTATCGGCCATCGCTGCAAGCAGCAGCAGCAGCAGGTTGATGCTAAACGAATCATAACTTGCCACTAGTTGGTCGGCTTAATTGAATTACCCATTACGGGTTCCATAATGTATCCCAGCGGCTGTGATTAAGTAAAGCAGAAGCACATCTCGATCTTCTGCAAAAAGCGACCAAAAAGCGCGTATTAATTGTAGATCCGTGCGAAATGAATGCGGATCATTCAACGTTAAAAACATGCAATTCGACAGAATCAAATTTGCAGAAATAAAAAAATTACGGGGAAAAAGATCATACGGAGATGAAAAATTCTTTCTCTGAAAATTTGAAAATTTTTCTCTGCGCAAAATTCGAAAGACATTAATTTGTAGCGAAGATTTATCTAACATTTCCTCTGGACATTTTTAAGGACTATCTGATTTTTATTTAAATACATAGTCGAATAAGTATTTTTAAACGGAGCAAATAATTTTACGTAAATATTTTCATCACAGTTTTGCTAAATTAAAATTGATTTTTTTCCATGATACAATTGAATACTTACGAGCGCATTGTCGTTATCTAATTGTAAAATTAGAATATTACAAACGCCGACGAGATCGTAATATTAGAATATCGTTATCTTGTCAGCGTTTGCCGTAAAGAAAAGGACACATTTCCACATTTATCCGATTATCGATATCTTTATATGGCTTTTGCTTTCTCAGTATGCCCAAGAGACGCAGCATGAAAAGATCTTGCGTGGTCTGGCGGTCGGCATTGCTTTCACGATGTACGGCCGCCTCGAGGAAGCTGATCCCCTGGTGACGTCCTTATGCGCAGACAAGGATCCGATTCTACGTAGAAGCGGCATGTACACCCTGGCGATGGCCTACTGCGGCACCGGAAACAATCAGGCCATCCGCAAACTTCTGCATGTTGCCGTGAGTACTCATCCCATAGAAAATATACATCCCATAGACGTTATATCATTATTGATTAGAAATCAGTTAGTATATTCTGTTTTCTTATTTTTTTGTAAATTTTACCTCTCGTTTTTAATTCCCGTTATCTCCACTTTATATTACTAGTGATTTTATCACCATCTATTTTAGTATTTTGCGTAGGTTTTATTTAATTATTTCGTTGATTGATTTCTCGCGCATAGAAGTGGCTTTAAAAGTATTTGAACGCGCTTTCTTTTCGGTGATAAAAGTGCTAATAAGTATTATTATTTATTTTAGTCAATTCAAATGAGAATTTGTCTCGAATTAATTTATCCTGCATACGCAAATTGAGATTTGGGTTCTCTCGATTTTGAAAACTGATTTTAATTCGGGAGACAGACGGTTCCTCTCCATCGAAGTGGAAATCAAAGTGAGGGTGGGCTGGAATTTCTCGCGGAACGACTCGTAGTACTCGTGCTCCTTTTTGTTTTAACAGGTCTCTGATGTTAACGATGACGTTCGACGAGCCGCGGTTACGGGTCTGGGCTTCCTGCTGTTCCGGTGAGTACCTTTGTAAAGTTACCCAATTCCACAAAGTGGATTTAACGTAACCGAAGAATGCGAAAATTCTGCGCGCTTGTAGACTCCGCCGCGGCATTCGACCTCTTTCAAAGCCGCGTCGACTGAAATCATATATTTAGCGTGCTCTAAGCATTAACTCGTTCCAAAGCCCCCAAAAATAACGAGGCTTTAAACTTTCTGTTATAATTTTGCACAAAAGAGGGAAACAAACATGTTAATCTTTTGTAAATAATATCGGACGTAAAACGTAGGAAACGTAGGAAAAAATTAATTTATTAAATATTAATATTTGTCGACGTATTTCGCGTCAATTTCTGCGGCAAATAATTAGTTATGTTAATCCTCGTGTAGTAAAATCGAGTGAATATCAAATGGGAAAGGGAATCGATATATCACTATGGGTATATTCATTTGGCAGTTTCAGCTGGCGTGTTTTACGCTCAAAAAGTTAGCTCTGTTCTTCTTTTAATAACATTGTAGAGGTTGAAAAAGAATCGCTCGATTGGAATAATGATTTATCGAGGCGCTATTGCGTTAAAATAATCAGCAATCGTGCAATGTCAAAGGCACTGTAGCGTATCCGTATTGTGAAAGATATTGGAAAGATTTCGACACCGACGTCATAGAAATGCAATTTATACTAATGTATAGTGGCGGATCGGTCTCGCAAGCTTATCTCGATCGATTGCAGAGATATTTTTAGATATTCCGGCCGATAAGGACTGCGACCGAAACGAAGTAAACAAATGCGAGGGAATAAACGAAAGTGCTTTTTCTTTTCACTTAGGAAAGATAGCACGGGGTATTATCGTGTACACGCAACTTTTCAAGACATAGGTTCCGTGATAACGGCGTGAATAATATAAAACGCGACACGCAATTATTTCACTATCTAAAAACGCCCGTATGACCGCCGGAAATTTTTTTTAATTACACTCACGCAATTTGGAGACGGTTTTTCCATAGCACATCTCTTTCAACGGCACTGTTTCAATTTTTTACATTGTGTATTTTTGTAACAAAGCTTTGAATTAAAATTCTTTGTTGAAACTAAAGCTCCTTTGGAGTTTGCTAGAGAACATGATTTCGCCACTTAATTTTTCGCGAGTTTTTCTCTTAATTGGCTCGGAAGTTCTTTTACTTTTAAGTTAATAGTCTTTCTGTTCTGTCTTATTATTATATATAGTTTTTCTATCTAGCAATTCTTGTTTTACATTTTAATTCTAATCTAATTTTTAATTACTTACGAACGAACGTCTGTATGTTTTTGTTGAGAAAAATCAATGCTGAATAAGAATTTCGACGAAATATTGAATATTTTTCTGATATTTTATGTATATTTTTTTTGAGTGTTTATTGTTAATTATCTTTCAAGGTTTAAACTTATTTGAGGCTACACGCACACACACGCACGCACGCACGCACGCACGCACGCACGCACGCACGCACGCGCGCGCACACACACACACACACACACACACACACACACACACACACACACACACACACACACACACACACACACACACACACACATATATATAGAGCTTAATAATGAACAAAAATAGTATTGATAAATGTACGGGTTTAAACAGTTGTCGATAGCTAATTTGCAAATTATTAACATAAGACAACAAATACGAGCATTCGTAATACGAAGGTAAATTTGTCTTTCGTCTAACGATTTTCAATCGCAACTGTTTAAACTCATTTATCCTTCGATTTGAAACGAAATCGGGCCAAATTTCGTTAGCACTTTTGCTCTATTTCACGTTTTCTTTCGCAAGAGGGAAATATTTTTTTTTGAAAAATGTAAAAATCCGGAAATATTTATTCGGAAATTGAAAACTAAAGACTAGGGGACAGATTTCTAGTGTACGGATTTCCACGTTAAAACAAATTTTCTCTTGAAACGCAGAACGAGATTTCGTTATCAGTTCGTGAATGCGAAGTCTCTCATCGGATTTTACATGTCAAAGGACATATAAGACGTCTCGTGTTTTCATAAAGTCAGGCTAGGAAATGAACCAAAGAATCCGATGGATAAAAGAAACGGAAATCTAGAACAGGTAATATCGTGTATAGGTCACGCTTGTCCGAGTTTGTTTGCTTCGTCGCGTGCAACTCTCCATGTTAATTTCGGATGAGATGTGATGCGTTTTTATTATTCTTCTTTTGTTCTCTCTCTCTCTCTCTCTCTGCTTCTCCTCATTTCTCTTTTACATTCTCTCTATTCCTGTTTCTTTCGAAATCATCGTCATTACCTTTTCTCTCTGGCGTGTGAATAGAGGCCGGCCTATTGAATAAATTATATACCGCAATACTATACCACATATCATTTCTCCGCATTCAAATTGCAATTTCAGAGAACTCGGGTTTTCATAAGTGGACTCAAACTTTGGTCTGAACATGTAATTATCTTTTTACCGGCTAAAACCTGTTTATAATGCCTTTATTTTTTAAATACAAAAAAAAATTTGCGATATTAAATTAAACATTCTTTTTTAAATATTATTATTACAATAAGGATATTATATAATTCTAAAGAAATAAATTTGGTGATAAAATATTAAATCCTGTCAAATCGGATTAAATTTTAATTTTTTTAAAAAGGTATTTATCATTCGTTATTCGCATTTACTTTTGTTTTCAATTTTTAATTAAGTTGAATTTGGTTTAATAATTTGTAAAATTAAATTCGTATGTTTAACATTTTTTTTTAAATTAAGATGAAATATATGATAATAATTAAAAGATATTCTTAAATAATAATATTACTTTATATCGTAATATAATATTTACGATTTATATACGTAATATATTTCAATATATTGCAACTGCAGATATTAAAATTTCATATTCTGTTGAAAAGAATTCTTTAGGAGTTCCTTATTCAAATATTAATTCTTTAGTTTCTAACTTAATTTAAATTTTAAAGACAGAGTAACTTAATTTTTAAGCTTTTTACGCCCAACTGTATAAATTGTTTTTTCAGTTTAAAGTTAAAGTTAATTTAAACTCCTAGGTTAATATTTCCAGCTTTTATTGATAACTAAAAAAGATTTAATGTTCTTTCGCGTTCTATTTTTACTTTAAATCGACTAGGAATAATCCTTCCTTACCTTCATATATCCCGAGGTGCCGCGCCGTCTCGCATTACAAGACTTGCAGTTTTATGAGACGAGGTTCGGGAGGGGTAGAAATATCCCCGTCCCACAGGGATGCGTTATTGCGTCGGCGGTAGTCAATGAAAGCCGAAGGAGTTTATTCGTGCTCGACAAGACGTGAAACACAATTGAGTCGCTCAATGAGAGAGTACGCTCTCCCGCAGAAAGTCATTTTTGTGAGAAAATAGACTGCTATTAGAAAGTTAATAACGAATATAATCTAAGCTTGAAAAGAGCAGGAATATTAATCCGCCGAGTCATTTTTCTCAAAGATATTACACGAAGAAATTTTATTCTACAGTTTTGATTTACCTTTTGCCATAAAGGATCTCCTTTATTTCATGTAGTATTAGTTTGGAGATATATAAATGCACAGTTCCACAATCTCACAAGTAGTTTATAGAACGTATCAGAGCTGGCACACGAGCTACTAGAAAGATAATTCAGCCCATTTTTTCATTTTATGGGATAACACATTCTCTCTCATTGGGCTACTCAATATTGTCAGGAAGAAAGAAATTTCCACCATTTTCGCTTGCGCGATGTGGAAAAGACATGCATTATTTTCTTGTTCTCCTCGTATATGTGTCGCTTTTGCTTTTCCTGTCTTGTCGCAGTAAGTATTTCAGGCTCTTTCGGACTGAGAAAAGATATGTAGGATTGTATTTCTATTCAACCGGAATGTCTCTGAACGAATTTTCAATCACTTTCCTTTTATCCTGAAATAAATTTTTACAAAGTGAATTTTTTTACGAAATATTATATATTTTATAATTTTTAATATAAACAAATTTTTTACATAGTATTTATTGTGAAGTTTATAGCCTCTTTATAGCCTTTATTAAATCAAACGAGAAAAGAAATTACCAATAATTGTTAAAAAGGAATTAAAATTTCATTTAGCAATCAAAAATTATCTTATTAAATTTTATTTTATTAAAAATTTATTTATTTACAAAAAATGAAATTTAACTGTGGTGATTCGGAAAAAAAATTTCTATAGATGTTTTTAAAATGATTTTTAGATGAAGAGTAATAGTTGTGACTATCTAAAAACTACTTAAGAGCATGTTTGGAATTATAGCATCTATTTCTAGTACAAAACAATTGAGACTTCAATGACCGATAGGTATTTTACTGAAATTGTATAAATCTGTTTTATCTTTTATTTATCCGATCAGTACTTTGTTCAGAGATAATCGATTAAAGACTGAGAGGTCTTTAATTGGAATACCAGATCGATTCGAGACTTCTTGGAATAAATCATCGCCTTGCGAAAAAGTATTCTTCTTTCGGGAAATCACTATTTCGTGAAACACAAGATCACAGGATTCCAATTGCTTTTGAAAAAGTAGAGAATGCTTGAATTCAGTATAAAAAGTCTAAGAAAAAAGAGGTAATATTTGACATACGTTTAATACATGTTTATTTTTTATAAAAATTTTTTTATAATTAATTAGATAATTACAAATCGAGAGAAATTATTTAGACATTAAAATATATTTAAAAAAAATATATTTTATTGTATGTAATTACATTTTGATAATCTAACTTTAGTCAACGCAAATGGACTTTTATCGGTAATATTCTGCACATAACAAAGGAGAACGTATGAGACAGGAAGAATCAATAGCTTTTGTTTTTCCAGATAAACTAAAAGCTCGACTTTATTTCATGTTGCAACTCTTTGATGAGACTCTATTCCGTCTTCAGGGTCGGATCTCTAATGACAAGCCATGATAAAGAGTTAGCTAACTTTTGAACATTTCTTTAAACATGCTTTTTTCTTTTTTCAAAGTTTTTTTAAGAAAA